GGCCTCCGCGTCCCCCGCCCCGCTGTCCCGCACCGTGCGCTGCCCTGGCCCGGGCCAGGCTCCCGGCCGCGGTACGAGACAGGGAGCACGCGTCTCTCTTTCTCCAAACCATAATTTTACTGTCTCAAAGAAACTTCATAACTTATGTACAAAGATTTGTTTGGTTTTTTTGTTTTGTTTTGTTTTGTTTTCTTTCCTTCCCCAGATACAAAGCAATAAGTTAACATTCTCAATATAAAACTAAACTTTGACATATAGAACACTAAACACAGCCGAGCTCAGTTTATCACATCTTCCGAATTTCACAAGTAAAATGTCAAGATCTCAGTACACAAAGCATCATGTTTTACAGCCACACGAAACAGAACGGAAATAATAATAATAATAATAATAATAAAAAAAAGGCTAAACAGCAAAGAGCTCAGCAGCTGCTGCAATGACACTTCAAAGTACCAAACAATGTGCGTTTATTTCCTTTGTTAAATACGCGAGAAATGCAAATAATTCGGACCATTAATTTCTCCACGCCAACGAAGTATAAAAGTTACTGTAAAAGCTAAAAATCGCATCCTTCTCTTGTGGTGATTTACGGGGGGTCGGGGGGGTGGGGGATGGTGTGTGGGTTTGTTTGAAGTAAACTCTGCGTCCGAGCAGTGCACTCAGCAAGCCGAATTGTCCGTTTGTTTCCAGCACTCTCATAGTGGTAATTTAAGTCAATAAATAACCCCCCTGTCTTCCTCTTTTAACAACAACAAAAAAATATACAGATGAGTAGTGAAAGGTACAGAAAATGTCGAGGGAAAGAAGCTCTGGAAATTGTACAGCTTTCTTCCCCCTCGCAATCGAAGAGACGCTCAGATCGGGGTAGTAAATAAATGACCTACATTTCAACAGACACAGACAGACAGACAGGACACAGAGGGCTTCCCCCCCACAAACATCTTTTTCTGATTGTCCCACAAAGCCGCGGCCGGCGCTCGCTCTGCTCCCAGGCTGTTGTGCGGTGCTCGGGGCCGCTCCGTCATCTGTCAGCGGTGGGAACCGGCCCGCATCACATCTGTGCTCTCCTGCACCGAGCTGCGGTGCAGCGTCCTAATGGCTGGATGGGCAAGAGACCTCCTGTTTGTTTGTTTGCTTAGGTTTCTTTTGTGGTTTTTGCCCTCTCTCTCTTTCTCCCTCTTTTTTTTTTTTTTTTTTTTTTTTAAGTAATACCACAAATAATTTCTATTCTGTTAGAAGAATTAATATTTTAACAAAAAAACCCCAAACACTATCACCAACCAGTCAGATCTACACATTAGAATGAATTTGCAGGGAAAAACTAAAGCAATCAGTGGCCTGATCAGCACTGTACCCAAATGTCTACCATCGACCATTTTCAGCTGCTCCTCACTGTGCCAAGAAATTTTTTTAACCCTAATTTCACAAAAGTATGGTGAGATTATGTTCATTTTTAATTCCTGTGGGCAAAACATAGCAGGTTATGCATTTTTACCTTCTATATACTTGTTATTATTTTTACATCATTTCACAATGCAGTAATGTCACAAAATGTTTTATTACTCTCATTCTAACAAAAGAAGACTTGGAAAATTGTTATTTCATATTGAATGAAAAAAATATTATTTTCCTAGACTCAAGGGGGACTGGGGTTGTGTTTATTGCATTTTTTAAAATTAGTTTGGCATTTCCTTAATAATCAGCTTAATTTTTATAATGTAAAAGTTAATACTAAAATACTAAATGTAAAATTCTATGTTTTAGAAAAAACGTATTTTTCAATACAAATTGAATCTTGAAAATGGCAGTATTTCTTGCACAATAAAAACCTGATATTTTGGTCAACTTTACACTTCCATTTATCAAAGAATGACACAGCAACTAGATGGTACAGTCACTGACTCTCCAAAAATATAAGTTTTATACAACTCCATGTAGAGAGTGCTGGCTGTTTCAGCTCAGCTCCGGGACGGGGCGAGCGTGGCTCCGGGCCCGGTTGCCCAAGGCTGTGACCCGTCTGCATCACGCGTGGAGGCTACCACGCCGGCGCTGGGGACAGGGAGAGGACATGGGAGAGGGGCCGGCTCAGTCGAAGCTGTACCTGGGTCTGGGTGAGTCCCAGAGATGCTGCGAGCTCAGCTCTTTCAGGAAGAGCCAGGTACTGAGTTTGCTGGAACCTCCTGTTCAAAGCTTGTAGCTGCAAACTGGAATAAATAGTCCTGGGTTTGCGGATTTTTTTCCCTTTTCCATTAAAGCGAACTTCCCCTCCTTCTACCACAGTGCTTTTCTCCGATTCGGCCCCTACAAACCACAAACGATGCAGAATAAATAATAATAATAATGATAGCAACGATAGTAATAATAGCAGTAACAGCAACCGCAATAGTAACAATAACAGCAGCAACATCAACAGTAACAATAATGAGGAGGAAGAAAGTGAGGCTCGAGTAACGCTAACAAAGGCTCCGGGAGATGATGGCAGCCCAGGCTTCTTCCAAGAGAAAGTTTGCTATTTTTACAGGCTGCAGTTTAGGTTTAATTACCCTTAATTGCATACATTGTTTATAGCGCTACGCAATAAATAATTACGAAGACTAATACGTGCACATCTGGGTTGATTTCTTTTCCAGCCGGGCATTGTGTGCTCTGTGTACTGCTCCCCTGTGATCCTCAGCCTCTCCTGACTAATATTTAGTAATTTAATTTAATTTTTCCCCCCCAATAAATTATTATTTTTTTTAAATTCAAGCACCCTCCCTTGAGACATTTGCTGGCTGGGCGGCCCAAACTCCATAAAGACAGCCTTCCCTGAGACGGGGCTATTTAGACTCTCTGGCATGGTAGTCATGGTCATTTCTTGTCGCTTGGTCTGTGTGTGTGTTCTCTCTTCAGCTTGCCTTTTTGGGGTCTGTTGTGTTTCTCAGGACAGGAAAGAACCCAATTTAAGCGGAACAGGGGTTTTCACTTTCCATTCATAAGAAAATGGAGTTTGTCTCTTTGAAAAGTCTAAGCATGATGCTGTAGATCTACACAAACTCGCCTAAAAGCTTTGACTCAGCCAAGTCTATGAATATTCATGAGCTGGCGGAGCTGATTGGTCCGTCGTCTTGCATAATCGCTTTGGATTGGTCCGAGGCGCTCGAGGCTCGCCCGGACCCG